ATCTATGCAGCAATTCCACCTTAATCTATTCTCTGAGCTCTCCATCCCCCGCTCTAACGGTTTCCAGACTGAGCAGGCATCGCTGCCACCACAGACCCCAGAGAACCGCTCTTCTACCAAGGCTAAACCAGTTTTCTATGTAGACGGACGCTGCAGCCATTTCGGGGCAGTGACCGGTGAGGATCGCCCTCCAAGACCACGGCCAGGGGGTGTCCGGTACCATCTTGCGCCATACCCTATCCCACCAGCGCCACGTCAGTACGGCCACCAGACACTGCATAAAGATGTGCTCGATTGTCTCATTCCATTTGTGTGAGGGGAAGGCCGTGAGGCACTGCTGACACCAGGGCAGTGCAACCCCTTTCTGTTCCAGGTGGGTGTGATCTATTAGCCAAGCATTTGTGGGGAGGCAGCGGTGGGCGATCTGCCACTGCAAGGAAGAGGTTTTGGCTGGTCGAGCTTTATTGTTGCTAAACCACTTGATGGGCGTAACGAGGGCCCGGTCTACGTTGAGGTGTTTGGCCCATCTGTCGTTTATCTGATCCCTCAACTGCCTCTTTGGTCTGAGCATCTTGTATGTGGTCTTAACCGTTAGTTTGTGGAGGTAGATCTCCGTGGCCGGTGCAGTCGTTTGTCCGCCTGGGGGGCGGGGTGCCATTTTCCTCGCAGACTGCCATTGCCATTCTAAGGGGTCCAGTGGCAGCTCCTGTATGGGGGACCGGGGCTGAAACACAGAGAAGTCCGTATCAGTTCCTAGTATTCGTACACGGAAAACCTCCTCCCTCTCCCGCCATTCAAAAGGGTCATGGGAGCCCATCAACTGATTAGTTGGGTCAATCTTATAATATTCTACCAGCACGTCTGCGGGACTAAGCTGGTGAATCCTGCCCACCCTATGCGGCTCCCCCCTCAGGCCCACCCAGTCTCCATTCTGGAGAGTGGGCCCCCTTCTCAGTAATCTAACCCATGCAAGCGGGATAGCTTCTGTGATATTGTCCATATGCTCTTCTATGCGATGGCAGTAGCGAAGGTCGTCCCGTAATTGTGCGGCCGATTTCCAATCCCTCCTCCTCATGTCCCACAACTGTCCCACCCTCGTGATCCCACGTTGTACCCACCCCTTCCATGGTGCGGCCGAGCTGCAGAGCACTTGGCCTGAATGGGGTGTGATCCATCGGTTTCCAAAAAGTGGTTGTCGGGCCACTTCCTCCCATCGTTCCGGGGCTGGCTTTTCCGGGAGGGGTAATTGTCGCCAGCACTTTAGTAGCGATGGCCAAAACTGTTCCACTGGCTGGCCTTGAATTTTCCGAGGGATCGACCAGCATCTGTCCTCTAGCCATGTAAGCGGGGGGACTCCCTCTGGGGCCGGGGGGGGCAGACGGGCAATGTGCTCCAAAGCCAAGGCTCGCCAAGGGCACTGGGGGCAAAGATCAGCTTCTTTATCCACTGGAGGCGAAGGGCCCGGACTTGTGTTTGAGGGTCAATGATACCCAAACCGCCCCCTGTTCTTGGCTGAATCACCGAGTCTCATGCCACCCGATTGAGTACATTTGCCCGCTCGTCGTCTCCCCGCCATAGAAAGGCTGCTACCCTCGCCCTAAGAGACAGGTATGCGGCTTTACTCAATGGCCAGAGTACCGACTTATATCATAATGTAGCAAAAATGACGTTGTTGATGGCCAGTGCTCGTCCAAACAGTGAAGTATGTTTGTTCCGCCATTGGGACAGCTTGGCCAGAGCAGGCGCGCTGATCCATTCATCGTTGGTGGGCGTCCGGTAGCTGACACGGATACCCCTAAAACCCGCAGTGGGGCTTCCGGGGGTAACCATCGTATGCGAGGAGTGTCAGGGGGTCTCCCCCCTTGATGGTGGATCCCCCACCCCTGGGTTTTGCTCCCCCAGTTCACAACCATATCCGAGACAGTTGTAAATTGTTCAGCCATAATGCCAATCACCCTTCCCGATCCGTCTCCTCTGCCTTTCGTCGCAATCCAATCACCGTTCCCGATTTGTCTCCTCTGCTGTTTGTCGGAATCTTCGTAATCCCGCTCCCCTCTTAAGCAACCACCCACAATCCCCCCTCTCCTTCTTGACCACTTTCTTCTCTTCGTCTCCTAGTCGTGACAACGTTCTTGATCCGACTGCCGTTGCCCTCTCACCAGTACTCTCACCCCTGCTCTCCCTACAACCATCACCTGATCGCAGTACCCTCGCCCGATCATATGTCGCTCGTTCACCACCTGCTCCCCCTACAACCATTGGCCGATGCTCGTATGCACGGTTGCAGCTCGCTTGTTCACCCTCAGCACGGTCGCCCCTTACATGCATCAAGCCATGCCGCCCACTAATCGCTGAGCCCTGCGCAGCAAGCGCTTGCGCAGCGTGCCCGCTGACGAAGCGGTCGGGCAAGGAATGCGCCGAGACGAACAAACTCCCGACCTCGCCATCGCCCGCTCATCAAGCACCCGACCCGTGCTGCGTAGTACGGACTCAAGGGTCGCGAAAAAAAAAAAAGTGCCCGCGCAACTCACGGACTGACGGGTCGGGTTTCGCTTTGCTTTTCGACACGGGCCGCTAAAAAGCACCTCACAGACTGACGGGTCGGGTTCCGCTTTGCTTGCCGATGCAGGCACCTCCCGCCACTGGCCGACTCATGGGTCGCGAGAAAAAAAAAAGTGCCGGTGTATCGTCCCGACTCACAGACTGACGGGTCGGGTTTCGCTTTGCTTTCCGACGCGGGCACCTCCCGACACCGAAGCCACCGGTTCCCCCTTGACCCACTGCCCGGGAGCGGTCCCGCGTGCCGGCGTCCGGTTTCTGTTGGGCCCGTCACGCGAGACCCGCTTCTTCCTTTATAGAGATAGAGATGATGTCCAGGGTATAAATCCAGCATGGATCGTTGTCCGGTCTTCCCTCCGTTCGTAGGAAGTTCCGAATGACAACATTGTTCACTATTCAGTACTCCCGGGCCGTCAATGTACCTGACTGTGTCATGGAAGCAATGCAGCAGTTGGGTGTTGCCGGTGTTGACCAGCCTCATCACGGCCTGGTATTCGTACTTAAAGAAGTAAATGTCGCACCAGATAGGTGAACAGGCCAATCCCATGGGAATGCCGAACACTTGTCTCCAGACGCAGTTGCATAGTTGATTAAGGCTGTTTGAACTTTGAAATGCACCACTTAGGAAGCCAGACCACGTCCAGTTCATCAAAGAAGATAGTGCCGTTCATTCCCAGCTGCCCGTCGATTGTCCATGAGGGGAAGAACGCGCCATTGTTGCTTACTCTGATTCTTATGGCGTTGTCTGTGCTTCGGCTTCTCGTGTACTCCATCGCGCATCGTAGAAAAAAATTGACTGCTGCTGCAAGGCTGTGCTCCGTCCGATCCGTCCGTGAGTATAGCCTCGAACGCTCGAAGCACCTTGTGATATCGGCTGTAAACAGTACTAAACACCGAAGAAATGTTTGCGGGTAGGTTGGCTGCGAATTCCCCAATCGATGAGATAGGCCACTGTAAATTGGCTCTAACTCTGAATTCGACCTCCACCTCCTCGCTCTTCTACTTGCAAAAGTTTGATGAGAGGGGTATCAAGAGGACTATCACAGCTGGTTGGCACCTTTTTTCTTTCTTGGTTTAAATTTTGATTTGTTTAGTTTTGCAACTTTTGCTGCTTTTGCAACTTTTTAAATCGAAAATTCGAAAAAAAAAATAGGGGATGTAGAGTGCGATGAGTCCTACAATCCCCCCCCCCCCTTTTTTTTTTCGTTATTTTTTATATGCCCAAAAAAATTGGGGCAGGTCGCGGCCAAACCACGCCCAGCCCCGGCCACCGGGACCCCCCAGTCATGACCAGAGGTGATATATAGCTCCGTATAATCAGACAGACTTGTTGCTTTATGCACATTTTTTTTCTCTTCTGGTCAGAATTCCAATGCATGACTGTGACAATACTTTTCGGGAAACATAATTGCTATGAACCACTCAGATTCACACACCAAACGAATGCACAATGAGAGTTCACACGAAGATTCACACTGAAGTCCAAAGGTGGAACGCCAGATTAGCACAGCTTAGGAAACTTGAATGAATCACAATATTAAAACTCAGAGTTCGAGTTATCCAGCCTCAACCAGGCATGTAACTGAGTTCCCTCGTCTTGCGACTCTCTCTCTCTCTCTCTCTCTCTCTCTCTCTCTCTCTCTCTCTCTCTCTCTCTCTCTCTCTCTCTCTCTCTCTCTCTCTCTCTCTCTC